GCTGAAGCCAGGGGAGCAGCACTGCCTATCACTGCACAAGCACTGAGCCTAGCACAGACCTGTCTTTTCTAGCTCTGTCTCAGGCAATCCCAAGAGCCCTGGAGGAGACAAATGGATTTATTTTTTTTTGGTGGGCAAGAACAAAACAGAAACCATTGGCAACAACATCCTGTCTTCTGTAATATGCCTGAGGCTCACTGGACAAATAAGCTTTCCATTTTCATCTTCCTAATGCTATTTTTAGAACATATTGGCAGTGCCAGATGTCTCTTTCAGAGGCTGGACTCTTAAGATTTATAACCATGTGCTTGCTGGCCACAGATGTTGAAGACGACAGGCCTGTGGGAAAAGCCCCCCATTGTTAAGACGACATTGCTCAAAAAGCTGTTTAAAATAGTTACTCACAGCATCTTGAGTATTTCAACATAACAGCCAAGGATCCTGTCTGCTTGGGCACTCAGCTCGATGCTCATGGTGCTGCAGGTAGGACTGACCATCAAGCAGTCAATCAGGTTGGGCTCGCTGTCATTGCCAACGTTGGCTGTCATCTTCTGATTAGCTGTGTTGTTGCGCTCCACTTCCACGTGGATCTCATTTGAAGTGACAATAACCGGTTTGAGACGGGATTCAGTCAAGGTGGCCTCTTGAGAGACCAGGTCAGGACTTGTATGAAGAAGGCGGAGGGGGAGATTAGGCTTTCGGTCACACTGCTGCTGGCAGCCATTCCGAATTTCCTTCAGGCTTGGTGAATTGTCTCGACTGGATTTTAAGAATAAACAAATAATCTCAATAGACAGACATAACAGCAGAGAGCAGGATAGAGGGTGCAACACTGAGAAGCCAAGATCTTTTGCAATTTCCCACTGCATTTCACCCCAGCCCACCGGATTGCTTTTCCCTGTGTAATCGGATTACTGAAATCAATTAAAAACATTAAAAGGCTCCAACATGACTGTTCTGCAGCCCCTATTCTACAAAGATTTGAGCTTTTCATTACTCTAATAGACACGCCAATTTAGAATAAAGGTGAACTTTCCCATCCAAGTTGTGCAAAGCTGTAACAGAATCCATGCCCAAGTATGTATCTGGCTACAGTACATGCCCAGACATTTGTCTGCAGTCCTCGCGTCTGGAATTTTTGTTGGACACTAAGCAGCCCCTGTCCGTGCTCTACCATGAGGAAAGTCAGATAGGCATAAACAAACAGGAAACATAGCAGAGGGGAACCCTCACTGCCTACTGGAAACTGGCTCGTGTGTCAAGAACTGCGGCATCTATTTTGCGGTAAGTCAGGAATCAAATTTTCCACAATAGTGGAGACAGCATTGTGAAACCAGCTCAGGTTCAAAGCTGGAGATACACAGGGATTTACACACAACCCCTTCTTCAAGTTCTCACCCTTCCTTTCGCTTTAGGTGTAACACACACTTCATGTGCCAGAAAGGGAGCAAAACAGACACTGCTCTGGGTAGTGCTTAATTCCCAGAGACTCTTGTGGAGCAGCACTCTCATCTTCTGCTGGCCTAAAAAGGCTGGTTACAGCTGCAGTCTGCCTTAGAGGAATACCTCAACAGTGGCCAAGATCAGCATGCTGGCTGTTGAGCTTCATCCTGGAAGTTACCGCAGCTTGCAGTACTTCTGTACTGGGAACTGCCAAGCTCCTTGCATCACCAGCACTGCCCCCATTTCCAAGCATGGGAGCCAAAGATGTGCAATAACCGATTGCCACGCTCTCTGCCTCAAAACTGCCACAGCGAGCATAAGTGCATAAAGGTTCAGCATCTTTCAGGTCTTCAAGCACACAAAGTGTAACAAACATAGTCACGTATCTACAAAAACATGCATGAGATTGACCATAACTCCCACGCGTAACACTAGCAATGAGCAGAGTGAGAAGAAGACACTGTCTCACATACCCACACCCATGCTCACACCGATCTTGTTTACAGATGCCATGGGTTTGGAAGTGAGTAACATGCGGTCAGCTGGGAATTCATACTGACCTGTTGATAAATTCCTCGTAACACGAATAAATGGCTGCTAAGCAGACAGCTACAAGATTTGGCAGGACCCTGGGATGGGGGCATTGTCCAGTTGGACCGTGCATGCTGAAAAACAAAAACCAAGATGACATTGTTGTGAGGAAGATTTCTGTGGGCAAAAACAGTCAGGCAGAACGGGGTGTCAGAACTGGATAGACGGCCTTGGGGAATCTTCAGAAGGGCCATAACAGAGTTATTTTAGCCCTGTAAATCTCTACCCAGTGGCCCTATTTATGAATAAGGCTAAGCTACAACCCCAGTTTATTTGATGTGGTATCTCTACAGTCCCCCCAAAATCTCACATGTGACATTGTGGTCTAAAGTTAATGAGAATCTCTCTGTAGAGGCTCTGAGTCTAAACGTAAAAAAAGAATGTACGCACAGCAAAGTCCATTTGCTTCTAGTCTGTAACAAGGCAGAAAACCCCAGCCGTATCTGAGAATTAGTTTTTAAGAAAAAAAAAAAACCAAAACAAAACCAACATTGCCTCATGGACTCTTCCAATTTATTTGTTGTTTGCCAGTACCAAAAAGCACCAGCTATTCTTAACAGCCAGTAAAGAGATCAGCAGGGCTGGGAGAAGTAACACAGTGAAGCATGTACATAGGACTGGAAATACGCCATAAATTAAATGTGACTAACCTATGAATAAACTTCTTCACCACCTCCATTCCAGCATTCAGCTCATTCAAAGCCAGAATATACTCCTGAGTAAACAGCCGCAACCGAGGGCACTTCCCAAAATCCTGTCCAAAAAGGAAAGACTCAGTGAAGACAGTGAAACATGCCTGCAATGTACATCGAAACTCTGGGTTTTCAAAAGAAATCAGCTCAAACACAACTGAATTCACTTTGTTATTCTGCTGACAGCTTCAAGAGCACAGGATCACTGCATGGCAAAGTGATGTTCTTCCCACTAATAATGACACGCTTTCCAATTCTCCTCTTTCCTGCATACCCACCTTGCAACAAAAGACATGTTTAATGGAAAAAAAAAAATAAATCCTACTTGCACTTACATTTCTTCACTTTTTACCTTTATTTTGAAATTCATTTTTTGTTGACTTGCGTTTTTGCTTCCACTCATAACTGCAGTTTTTTAGAAATGCAACTCAAAAATAATTTTTTGCTTCCAAGTTTGACATCACATCTATTCTGGTTTTAGAGAGCATCTTTTTGTCACACAATCAATAAGTGATCAAGCATAAAACCAGAGATCAGTTCTTTCTCCAGGGATTTACTCCAGCTGCAATGTGAATTTGAGAAGTGAGCTCAACAGTCACTTTCTTCAAATCCTGCAGTCGGAAAGGCACCTGCTAACTGAAATCCCGCATCGCCTCACATCACCTGCTATTTTTAGATGTGAAAGGAGTAAAATCTGCTGTCTGGTGAGTGTTATTCCACAGCACATTTCTTCACATTTTCACAGATGAAACCTTGTTACACCGGTGACACAGAACTACAAAGCTGCAAGTCCAAGGGGTGAACAAGGCCCACTGAGGACAAACAAGCCCTCCCAGTTATCCCTCAAGCAGCTGGCTGTGGAAGAAGAATAGTCCTGAAAAAAATAAATGGCAACTGAAATTTTAAAAGCAATGCCACAAGTGGTAACGAACTGGTGGTCTGTAAAAGGGAAGGTAAGACTCCCAAAGCACTGAAACCTTCTGTTACTTATTTTGGTTTCAGGCACTTCTGTAGCACAACCTATATTAACATCTCACAGGTTTTACAGCTAGAAAAAATTGCAAAAAAATGTGAGCACAAGCCTAGGCAGAACAATATCTTCTTCAAGTCTAAGTGTCGCTCTTTGCTAGTACTGAATGGCTACCTGGTAACTTCACCCAGCAAAGGGACCGTGGGCAATTCCACTGTTGGCATCACAACTAGAATTATTAAACTTCTAACAACTCTTTCAGGCAGGTGCAAATACACCTGATTCAAGGGCATAAGACCGTGTGTGCTTTGTATGTCATTTGGTGCTGTTTCATTTCATGAACTCTCCTTGCAAAACAGCTTTTGCAGTTGCAATTTGTTTATGAAATTTTTCAACCTGTGCAGGTGTCCTAACTGGAGTTAGGACAAAAGGCCAAGAGATCATATAGAGGATGTCATTGCTGGCCACTCTAAAATAAAATAGAATATGATGCCCCGTCACAATACCATGTACCGAAAAATACACACTATCAATATTGTTTGCTCAAAAAAAAAACCAACCAAAAAACCCAACAACCCAATAGTGCTTATATTCAAACATTTGGCCTGAGCCTACAAACAGCTGAAATCCAAAGGTTTGAGAGGTTGCTGAGCACTCCCCAAACAACTCAGCATACAATAGTCTCCAGTCCTGCATGTAAGCAGTAGTATCAGCAAGACAAAAAGCC